CTCCCTGCTCGGCGGGAAGCCTGCTTCTCCCTCTCCCACTCCCCCTGCTTGTGTTCCCTCTCTCGCTGTGTCTCTCTCTGTCAGATAAATAAATAAAATCTTAAAAAAAAAAAATACAAGGTGAAATGTGGATCCGTTGTCTCAGCTTCTCAGGACCTAGAGGGAATGATGGATGGAGGACTGTCAGATGCCATTTTCCAGGAACCTAGATCGTTAAGGCGGGGACAAAGGAGGGCAAGTGCAGTTGGAAGAAGGTATTTAGCCCCTTTCTTCCCTTTTTAGTTGCCTCTTGAAGTGGATCTAACGAGAGCAAAGAGACAAGATTTTGAACCATCTGTGGAACAAGCAAGATACAGCAGCTGCCGGCAGAACGTGGCTCCGGGATCCCTTGAACCACCAGAGGTGACCTCGCCTTGCAGACCTAGCCGCTCGGATGACCCGCCCACTGTGGTGCAGGAGGAGAAGGCCAGCAGCTGCCGGTGTGGCCCTGGTTCCCTCCCCGTCCTCCCGTCCTCCCCTCCTCCATTTTCACGGGACTCACCCCGCCTTGTTCTCTTGGGATGCAGCCTGCGGCCGCCTGCCGCCACGACCGATGCCACGTACGAGCGGAAGCTGCGCCAGAAACAGTTGCAGCGGCAGTTCCGGCAGCAAATGGAGGAGCAGCGGCAGGTTCAGCGGTCCGCTCCGGCGGCTGAGCCGAAGCCTCCAGGTGCGTGAGGAGGCTGGGAGCAGCGGTTCGCTCCCGACCAGCCCTCGTAGGCCTTCTCTCAGGTTCCACGCCGGGTAGAGGAGGCTAAGCACTACGATCGTGAAGTTCTGCCCTGCATTTCCCCATTTTTAAAGACACCCCTTTTTTTTAGGGAAGGAAATGGCCCTTGACATAATCTAGAACTAGAAATTTCAGGGTAGAGAATGGTTTTTTTCCTTTCAGGTACTTTGGCCGCGTTTGCTAGAAAGCTTTTCTGAGTAGTCCGTGAATAGAAAGCAGAATTGTTTGACGATAATGGGGGCTTTGGGCCGTGCTTCATCCATGAACATCAGTTTACTTGATCCAGGCCTAGTGGTAGTAGCAGATTTTTTTTTTTTTTTAGTCTTTCCCAGAGAGTAAAAACAAAGAAAGGGCTTATCCCAGACCAGCTGGATTTTTGCCCAGCTTCTCCCTAAGAAAGATTCAGAGGACTTTCTTCGTGTTTAGTTCATTAATATTCCGCTCAGCACTGACAGGCTTAATGTAGGGGGGGAAAAAAAGCTTACTCTGTTGGGGATGTTCTTAATAGTAACTATTATTCTGGATCTTGAGCTTCCAAACCATTGCAGAAGCTCCTGGCGGGGAGGCCGCCCCCCACCCCGGATCCCACAGCCAGAGCCGCGGTTTATATTGGTTTTACATTTTGAATTTCTGCTTAAGATTTTTTCGAACAAAGCTTATAGCTTTAAAAAGTAAAAAGTGGACCAGATAGCTTCTAATAACCCCTCTATTTTTGTTGCTTAAGGAGAAATGAACTCTCCCCCCCCCACAATTTGGTGAGAAGAAAAAAAGTCTTTTTAGCTTCTTGTAGATCTGTAGGTAGGGACGGGGATCAGGAATCTCGAATCTCCTACTGGCTGTGCGAGGAACCGGTGGAACTCTAGGCAGCTTTGCACTTCTGAGGTGCTCGCTCCAACAGTTACGTGACTGTGGTTTTGTCCTTCCTCTCGCTCTTGCTCGCTCTCGCTGTCTGAACTCCAGCAGCACTGTCAGCAGCTCCTCGCAAGCACAGCACTCCCGTAACTGCCGTTTCCGAACCACTCACAGAGGACTTCCTTACAGGTCAGTAAGAGCTCCGGGCAGGACCTAAGCATTGATCAGTAAGTACCTAGGACATGCACTTTCGGTAGTCACTAACACATTTTATTTTTTATTTATTTATTTTTTAAAGATTTTATTTATTTATTTGAGACAGAATGAGAGACAGAGAGCATGAGAGGGAGGAGGGTCAGAGGGAGAAGCAGACTCCCTGCCGAGCAGAGAGCCCGATGCAGGACTCGATCCCGGGACTCCAGGATCATGACCTGAGCTGAAGGCAGTCGCTTAACCAACTGAGCCACCCAGGCGCCCGTGCCTGGCATCTTTATAGTTTG